GAGGATTTCTTTCTTTAAACTTAATGTCTTTGGCACAAAGTGGCCTTAATCAAGAGTTACTTCTAATTGGATCTATGAAGTATAAGAAATAAGTAACAAAAAATTAAAATTAAAATATAATATAATTAAAAAAATTAAAATTATGCAATTATACATAATAATTAAGAAGAGGAATTTAAAGTATAAAAATAAAGAAGTAAAATATATTTTAAGAAAAATAAAAAAATGAGAATAAAAAAGCATATATAATAATAAAAAAAATTAGAATGACTATTGGTAACAACAAGAAGAATCTTGAAACTAAATTAAAAGTAAAAAAAGAATTGATAAGAGTAAAAACGATCTTATTCTTGTCTCTTTATATGCTATCTAAGTAAAAGTTAGAAGACAATGTTCTATAAGACTTCTAACATATGTCTAATTTACAAGACATATGTCTTTAAAGTTAAAGACAAGTTTCTTATATATGTTCCATATGACTAATTTGTACCATGAGTAGCTAATATGTATAACACATGGCTAACTTGTTGGCCAATTTTTCAACCTATAAATGACATATATTCATGTATAAAGGCAAATATATATATATATATATATATATATATGTTTTAAAAAAATTATCCATAAGATGTTATTAAAATTATATATTTTTATTTAATTTCTATTATTTAGATAGTTAATAATATTAATTATATCTATAATATTATCTTTTCTTTTAGAAACAAGTTCCACAAGGAAAAATCATCATATGTTGAAGAAATTTAAGATATAATAGATTGTATTTGCTATATAAATTGATATTTTTTTTATTTAAAGGTAGTTCATAGATCCTTTTAATGTTAGATTGTGTCTTATACTAAAGAAAGAAGACTATTTTTTTTTAATTATTATTGATTCTTTTATAAAGTTTTAAAATAAAGCATTTGAAACACTATTAGGATTAGTTTTTATTTTCAATAATATTACCAAATATTAGAAGCCTCTTCTTAAGTTGTGATACTAAATATGTTATATTTATTTGATAAAAAATATATTTTTTTTAGATTCTTCATCTCAATTACATCAACTTGAAAGCTTTGACAATCTCAATATCTTCTTTGATAACTCAATAAATGATAGTTCTTAAATTAAATCTATTGGTTGTTATTTTTTCATATCTTTAATAACACAAATATACAAAAATTGTAATAAGAATAGAAAAAAAAATGTAATCTTTATTAAATTTTATTTTTTTTATAGTTTTTTTTAATTCTTTATTTTGATTTTGATATATATTATCAATAAAAAAACATCAATCTTCTTTGCTACATTTGTGAGATTTTTAAATAACTACTATGTGTATTTACTTATATCATATCTAAGCCAGTATATAAGATATTCTAATATATTTTTGCACCATCTTGAATTAAAGACTTCTTTTATTTCAAATCCTTGATTATTGTCTATTTCTATAGGAAGAAGTGACATTTATCTTTTTTTAGGTATATCTAATATCTTCAATGGCTTAAGAAAGAATACATAGAACTTAAGATGGATTTTAATAAACTTTGGTAGGTATAATTAATATGAAATTGAATTGATTTGCTTACAAATAAGAAATTATCATAGTCTACAATAATTTAACTTTTTAGAAGAATAAATATTCTTGATATTAAAATAAAGTAATTATACCATATTTCCAATGTATACATGAGATCTTTTTATGCAATGGATATTAGTGTTGATCTTTTGTTGTTCATAAGCTTCTTTTAATTATATTTTTATTATTGTATATATGTTTAATAAATAATTTTTTAGATCATTTGTTATAGAATTATCAATTTTTGAAAAGTCAAAAGTATCAAGTCGTAGATGACAGTTATAACTATCAATAAAAAAATATTTATCAAATAGAAGAACTTTTGTGTTATTATAAATAAAAACTTTGTCAATGGCAAAAGAATTTTTCAACTATTTTTATGGTAGTTGACAGTATATTTTAGATATAACTTCAAAAATTAATACACTTGTTCAATTTATTTATAAGTTCAAGAATACAAAATCAAAGATAATTTTATGTCCACCTTTAATATCTTAAAAAGATTCTCCAAAACCTTGATACAAATTGAATCCTTTTATTATATATAATAATTTTTTATAATCTATGATAATAATAAATATTATTAAAAAAAATAATTAGTTATTTTTTTTTACTTATAATAATTTTTATACATATTACAAAATATGCTATCTTGGTGAAAAAATCTATATTACATTTATAAAATTATATAAATTTGAAATTAAAAGATTTAGGAAAAAATCCATAGAAATAGAAGACCATAGTTTTTATGATATATGTAATAATTGAAGAAGTCTACAAGGTCAATGATAAGGAGTTTTTAATCTTAAAAAAACATCGCATGATTGTACAAAGTTGTTAATTGCCTTTAATATTTTAGACCACCACTGTTTTTTGATATTAACTATAAAGTCTTATTGTATCTATAATATATTTTAGATAAGAAATCGTGATAAGCTTAAAGAACATGTAATCAAGCTTTGTCTTTTAAAACATGTAAGTATTTATTAAAATAGTAAAGATTATTTTAAAACTAAAACTTATAATTATAATAAGATGTAAAAGGATTTTTTTAAAAAAATCATGAACAAGAAGATCTAAAGATATACTTGATTGAATTTAAATAAAAAAAATTGATTCAGTAATCAATTTTTATTTGAATGCTCAAAGATGGAATTATTGTAGCTTCCAAAGAATTAATTATTTTTAATTAAAAGCTGCATCTTTTTCTTTTGGTACAATATAAGAACATTAAAAAAAGGATTTTGACAAACTTTGTTAATTTTTTGGTTAATAAATGATCTTGAAATCAAAACTATTATGACTATTTATTGCTACATTCATAAGAATAGTTTTATGGATAATATTTCCAAAAAGAAAAAGATAACCATTCATGATTTCTACATGCATGGACTTAATCTTCTTTGGTAAAAATATTTCTTAGTTTTTAACAAAGTCTTTGTTAAAAACTTTATATTATATTTAAGTTACAAATTGTTTTCCATCAATGATACCAAAAAAAAGAAACAAAACAAAACAAAACAAAACAAATCAAAACAAAACTTTTAGAGCAAAGTGTACATATAAATCTAACTTAAGTAAATCCATTACAATATTGGAATGGTATATCTTAAATAGATATATTACCAAATAAATTGATTCATTTTTCTTTTTAGACATTTTATTTTTTTATTTTTTTATTTTTTTTATTGCTTAAGCTTCAAATTCATGCCAAATGAATTAAAAAATCTTTCTTCTTTGACATTTTTTTTTTATTTAAGTGGCTATTGAAGCTTAAAAAACTTCTATAATAAATTGAAAAAAAAATCTTCTTTAAAAATACTTGTTTTTAAGTAATAATAATATATTTTTTTATTTGAGTTTTTAACCTTAATAAACTTGTCAAATGATTTGATTTACTTATCTTCTTTAAAAATACTTTATTTATTTGATTGCTTGATCTTGGCAAACTTATCAAATAAATTGTCAATTCTCACTTATTTGACAAGCCTTTTTTTGAGTGTTTTTTCAAGCTTGACAAGTTTGTCAAATAAATTAGAAAATATTTTCTTTTTTATAACACTTTTTTATTTGATTATATAATCTTGATATGCTTGCCAAATAAATTGAAAAATATTCTTTCTTTTTTATTATAAATTATTTAAATAGTTGGACAAGCATAACAAAGTTGGCAAATGAATTGCAAAAACTTTCTTCTTTGATAACATGTGATTTAAGAGGTTGATCAACTTTTGTAAGCTTCTCAAATCATTTGGCAATTCTATCTTCTTTGACACCCCTTTATGTAAGTGAATGATCAAGCTTAATAAGCTTGCCAAATGAATTGACAAAGCTTTTAATGAGTGCAACATCATTTTACTTGATATCAATTACCAATTATCAAAAATGTCATATATATGTTAGTAAAGATTAATTGTTTCGTAATAAAATTTAGATTATATTAGTTATTATATAAATTACATTATATTATCCATGTACAAATCAATATTTTGCTAAAAATGCATCAAGGTTGTTCAAGTTAAGTTTTTTTTGTCATATAATTGATAAGAATGAAGAAAGAATAGATTTGTTAAACAAAGTTTTAATAAATTTTTCTTGAGATGTTTATGTTGAAAAATTAAGAGATCAAAGTTAAGAGATCAAAGTTAAATATAAAGACATATTTGGTTGATAAATCTTTGAAACTTAGATTTTATAATATCAAACTTATCTAAAAATAAAATTAGTTCTTTTTTTGGTGTATTTGCATGATATCTATAAGATGGTGTATTTTTTGAAGAAACTCTTATCATATCTATATCTTTTATAGATTTTTTTATATATATGTTATTTGTAGTAAATATTTGCATCAATTGAAATATGATGTGTATTTCATTATTTTTTTAATATTCTTCTTTTACAAGGATTCTAAAATCCAAAATCTTTAAACTAACTAAGTTTAAATTTGGAACATGGAATCATCTTCAAAAAAAAGTTGACTGCATTTATTTTAAAGGAGCTCGCAATAATTGACCTGTATATGGGTGTACACAAGACTTTATGGTTAAGATTGCTTCTATTGTATTACATAATAATTATAATTCCAAAAAATCATTGCTCTCAAATTCAAAAAACAACTGAATGTGCTGTTTAGAAGACTATTCTCCATAGAATCAAAGAATTCGTAAAAGAATCGTAATGCTTTTCCTTTTAATTACAATATTTTTTTTACTAATTTATGCAACAAACAACACTACATAGAAACAAAAGTTAAAGATCTGCCATATTGCAAATCGCCACCTCCATCGATTACAGTAGTAAAATTTACATGATAAAATCCAAAAAAGAACAACAACAAAAATGGTATAATGTGAGAACACCATAGCTTAGGGGTTTAGGATTTCAGTGCAAAGGCACAGCTCCTATGCAGACGAAGCTCGAGGTTCGTGGTGGTGTTTGGGAGGAAAAGCTGTTGAGACTCAGAGATGGCGTTGCAGAGCACGGGAGAAGCCATGGCTTGGACTGCGAGGATGCAGGAAGAGCGAGCGAGAAGAGTTGTTCAGTCCATGGCAGTCTCCAGGGCATGGCGTTGTAGGCAGGGAGAGTAGGTACAGGTTCGGTTTTCGATACCTCCGCAATGCGTTGTGGGGCCCAGGGAGACGCTATTGAAGCATTCCATGGCGCGCCCGTTGAGTTGGTGTCTTTTGCGGCGATACCTACTCGGATGGGTGAGAGGATTTAGGTAGGAGTCACTTTTTCTGGGGTTTTGGCAGCGCGAGCGCGGTGGATTCATTTCGAGCTGCGTTGCAATTAGCAATGAGTCAGTTCGTGGGGGTGATTCATATGTGTCCTCAGTGGGTTGCGCGATCAGTTGAGTCGTGCCGACAGCCAGGACGGGAATTGGGCCTCGATGTGCTCTCAAATTTTGCAAAATCGGAGTAGCGAATTGGGTTCCGGGTAGCTGTTTATCCTTCTCAGGTATGAGGTCTTGTAAATCCCCTTGGAGTGCACTGGCGTGCCTCGTCTGGGTTTGACTTGGCATGCGGATTCTGGATGCAAAGTTTGCTTCGTGAAGAGTTCAGGGGATTTTGGTCCTTGCCACTTGATGTGCAGGCTGGTGGTAGTTGGGGCTCGTCTGCTACTCTTTTCTGGAATAAGTGGGACGAGGGTCACGAGTTTGCAAATTTTTCAAACTGAAGTTAGGACAATTGGGACCTCGTGAATGGATGTCTCGGTGATAGAACTGTCAGGAAAGATCTAGTCTTGCCTTGAATTCGGAAGGGCATTTTACCCGCTGTCATTTGCTTCACACTATCATCCCTACACGAGCATTAAGTAGGTATCTGAGTTCTGAGCTACAACTTTATTTGTGGATGTCGGATCCCCCGATGCTTTCTTGGCCGCATCTATCATGTATTATAAAAATTTATGACTTGCACATTCCGCTGTCTGTTGTCAAAGAAGAACTTGAATTTTAGAGACATTACTATCTCTACCGATTAGGTTAGATACATTTCCATTCCAAGATGCCTGCATGTAGTGTTTTTTTAGTCAGGACCACGAGCTAATTTCTTGCACTTGCTTCTGGAAAGACCTGTAATTTCTTTGAGTTTCGCAACCTGATGATGTATGTTATGGTTAATTTATTTCTATTTCATCTATTATAGGCTGCCGATGGGAGATACTTTCAGCATGGGAAAATCTACATCTCCGTACAATGGCATGTTCCCTTCACATATTTCTCCTGTACGGAAGAGGGACCGGTACTACTGGCCTATCTTTACCCTCGCAGCTGTTGTGGCAAATGTCATTATTTTCATTATCGTTATGTATGACAACAATTGCCCAGCGAACATCATACCCCCGGACAGATGTGTGTTGGGCTCGTTTAGAAGGATGTCATTTCAGCCATGGAATCAGAACCCTTTACTGGGACCTTCATCTGCAACCCTCCAAAGAATGGGCGGCCTGATGACATTTCTTGTTGTAGACCAACAACAAGGGTGGCGGCTGATGTCGTGTGTATGGCTTCATGCTGGAGTATTCCACCTCGTCATTAACATGACCGCCCTCCTGATATTTGGTATCCAACTTGAGAAAGAGTTCGGCATCATCAGAGTTGGTCTGCTGTATCTTATTTCTGGCCTTGGTGGCGGTTTACTCAGCACTTTGTTCAACTCTCACGCTATCTCTGTCGGCGCGTCGGGGGCCCTCTTCGGCCTCGCTGGAGCAACACTTGCGGAGCTCATCACCAATTGGTCACACTTCCATAACCGGTGCTCTTTGACTTGGCAGCTCATCATTGTGGCAGCCGTGAATTTTTCGATTGGCCTTATGCCTCGTGTAGACAATTTTGCACACATTGGAGGCTTCATTACTGGGCTTCTGTTAGGGTTTGTTTTATTGATGAAGGAGCAATACGGCTACGTCTGGCAGCGTGACCTTGTTGACCCCAACATAGAGCGCCCTATGAAACGCCGATTTAAGGTCTACCAGATTGTCCTCTTCGTCGCATCCATTCTCCTTTTGATAACTGGTTTTATTGCGGGTTTTATCGCGCTCTACAACAATGTTGACATCAACGAAATATGCAGATGGTGTCGACGCATCAACTGTGTCCCCAGCCCTCGCTGGAGCTGCAACAGTACTTCAGGGTAGATTTGCTTTGAAGGTGCGGAAAGCTGTGGACTCTTAATTCTACTCGCAATCATGTTAGGGAGGGCTTTGGCAATTCTGACAGGGCTGGTCGTCTTTTCCCGTCGCATTGTTATCTGGAATAGTCACGTCGACGAAGAGGCACTAGAGAGTTGCAATTGGACGTACTGCTCGATCACACCATTTTCTAGACATGCGATTTGTGACTGTCTTGCGATGGAAGAGGTGAACGTTCATTCTCAGAGGGTGAGCACTTGAAGCATCCTTCATATCATTTAAAATGTGGAGAACAGACAGGAAGGGACCGTTGACTCCCTTCGGTGAGACTGGCAAAGCAAAGACTTGTTCTTCTGCGGGCTGCTTCTCAATGACAGTCAACTGTTTCTAGTCCCTGATAGTGTTCGCATGAGAAGCTGACAACGATTTTATCTGCTCAAAACGTTCGAAGCACAATTGTTACAAAGCGGGATCCTTGAATGATATACGGTTGACACGGCCCTGAAGGGTCTGTTGCCTCGAGTGGGAGTAATGGTCTTGACTGAAATGTTGGAACCAATTCTAGATCAGCAGAAGAGATCTTTTCTGCGTAAACAACTGCATAGTTATTATTAATGCCAGGTTTCGATTATCAACTTTATTCTGTTTTTGACGTGACCTCTCATGAGAATAGTTGGCAACGTAATGTGCTTTTTGTCCCAGCTGCATTGAGTTACTTGTTAGCATGAAGATAGTCAAAGAATGTCCTGAACTCTAAATCTTGATTCTTTCGAAGCGTGCAAGATGTTAAATTTGAAGGTAGGGGTTGGTGGAAGTAGGCCACACCCACCAACAAATTTTTTCATCATCCTAACTCCAAGCCGCTCTATTTTCTTTCCTAGTTGCAAGTTGTAGTCTGAGAAATGACTCCTTGAGCTACTTTCATAGACATCTTCCAATCAGCATATGAGTTAAAACTAACCTTGAGAACCCTTGAAACTGCTTCCACTGACGATTTTCTTGTAAGCTTTTAATGAAATCGAGAATAGAATCTCTCGAAAACTGAAAAAGCAACTCACTAAGGTGCTTCCATAGGTATCCTCCTTGCTAGGTTCAATACAAAATCAGCATCCAAGTACTGGTTACACGTGCCTTGTCTTCGTATATACACAGCTTATACCCCCCCAGAAAACGCACTCAATTTGGTGCCCTCGTTGGATTGCGAGTCCTGGCACCGACATGCCAGCCCAGGTGCTCCCCATTGTCTTCCAGGAGCTGCAAGAAGGAAGAAAGGTGAGTTTTTGTTGTTGTTGATGCTGCAGGCATTTTTCTATTTTCTGTCTTTCCCTACATGTTCATCATCAAAAGAAGGCTTGAGGTGGGGATTGGCCTACTTTGATTGTAGAAACATGCAGTGACTGGCTATGCAGACCAGCACACTTGTAGCATGGTGATAATTACCTATCTTTCATCATCTTAAAATGCAATTCTCTACAAAACAAAACTACAATTTTAGATTATCATCTTGAATGTTAGTATTTTAATGTGTTTATATATATATATATATATATATATGAACTTTAAAAAAATGAAATCAAATTAAACATGTAATAATTCAAATTTTTAGTCCCAAAAGTATAAAAATTAATCATTTTATTTTGAATGTTTAACTTATTCCATACAGCATATCAAAAATAGTTTACACATCACCCTATATCTCTTTGTGAATGTGTTACATATTTCAAAGAATTTTTCTTTTTCTAATACGTACTGATATAATTTATTGGACTTAATAAACTAAATATATGTGTACAAATTTATTTAATTTTTTCGACATGAAAAGAATTCATATCAGAAACATTTCAACTTAAGTAAGTTTTCTAAGTTACTGCTCTAATATTTGTATAAACATAACATATTACAATTAAATTTGGTTAACATTTGAAGATTCATAACTCCTCTCTAAACAAGCAAAAAGTATAGAATAAAGGCATTCAGTAAAGAATGTTCATTATTGAACAATGGTTATTGAAAAAAATAGAGTTCACATCCATGTGGATCACTTAATTTTTATATTTTACAAAAAATGATTAAACAACTTAAAATCCATATTCTGTTTCAAATACAGAAATTTTTAAATAGGATTTATTCATTTTTTTAATCCAACTGAAGATGGTATTTGCTTCACAATAAAAGTTCTAAAAAACATATTTTAAGAATATAATTGAATTTCAAAAAAAAAATTAATGCAAAAAACATCTTAATACAAACGCAATAGGAGGCATAAAAATATATTATTATCCAATTGGGTTTCTGTAAAACGAGGAAATGATTGCAAATTTTCACACGATGAGAAGAGGAATGCCAACACTAATTGGGGATAAGGTGGAAAGATGGCAGCAGTTAGAAACATGATCAGTTTGATGGGCCAATTAAAAAGCTGATCTTGATGACCACAAAGTTGTTTTTGAACAGGCTAGTATCTATTTTGAAGGATTTGAGCGAAGGATCTGAACTAGGAGCTACAAAGTATGAACTGTAAGAAGCTCATAGGACCTAAACGTATTGAAAATGAGCAGGTTATACATTGGAAGTTGCCACGGAGTACATTTGGGCAAAGTTTATTCCAGACACACACTTGGAGATTGGAAATTCCAGGGATGCTAGTTGTTATGGTTAGCAACTGGATCTGCCAATTCAAATAATAAATTAGAATTCGGAATTTGGTAGTAGGAAGGTGGATACAACAAATCCCTTTGGTTCTTACTCGGATGATGTTGTTAGTTCATAAGTCAATTACTTCAGATGAGTCTAGGATGAGGTTAGGAAAATTATAGAGGTCAATTTGAACAAGTAATAAATCAATAGATAAAGTATTTAAATAGATGTAATATTTAGATGAAATCATCAAATGTGATGTATTTTATGGATGGAAAATTGAGATGACATCCATTACATTAATTGGATGAATGTATGTTGGATAAATGTAGATTGGATGGATGTATGACCTTTGGTTAATTCATAAATTAATAATTTAAATTGGACTAAAATACACAATAATTAATTTTAGAAAATTAGTTTATATTAATTTATGTATGAGAGTTTTAACACATCCAATTGAATGCACTTAATTTTCCTTACATTTTGGTGCATTTGTAAAGAGTGAAATGGTTCTAATCTTGGTTGGAAGACTTGTGAGTTTTGCATTGTTTGTAGGATTTTGAATTGATATTGCTTGAGCCTAGAGTGAGGAGATCAAGTCAAGATTTAGCTTCCATTCAAGTAAGTAACTTATCTTAACTCTTCTATCAAGTATTTAAATGTAGGTGATTAAAAGAATGGCTAATAGGCAAGAGCAAGTGGACATAATAGTTAGAAAAAGAAGTAGATGAGATAAACCACATAATCTTCCTAATAAGACAAGGATCTAAGAATTAAGTAAGGAGATATTCTACTATTAATCTAATTTAGTATTTAGTATAATAACATTTTAAAATCAAGACTTATTAGCCCTGAGTTAAAAAATTGAATCTTAAATTTTTTATTATATAGGAAGAGAATTTTTAGTATCAAAGTAAATTCTTTATTAATAAGTGACATGTTGATTAAAAATGCATCCAAGTGAGTTCTTCTTTAAGAAGGTGTGAAATTGCATGAAAAACATTTTTTTGTATTGTAAAACTTTGTTATTAACTATTTTAGTGGATAATTTCCTAACTTCACAATTGTGAAGGAAGAGTCAATTGCTGTGACTCTTTGCAATTGCTGTGATAAAATTTTCTTTACAATAGATTGATTAGAGTTATTTTTACATAAGATTTTTTTGTAGGATATTAAGTGGAAGAATAGCCTTCTTTAGGACAATTATTATGCCAACATTCTTTGGATTAAATTCTTTTCTTTTTTTTGTTTCTTTATTGGAAGATGTATTTTTTAAAGTAATTTTCAAGTTGAAGTAAGCATAACTCCATTGAGAATATAAATTAATTATTAATTAGGTCCTTTAGAGGTGCTAAATACATCATTCTATTATATCACACCAACCTAAGCAATCTCCACTAGTAGAAAATTCTAAAAAATAATTAAAAAAAACAACCTCTAAACCTAAAAAATCTTCTTTCAAATAAAAGAAATATTAGAAAAATCTTAGAAGAATGTCCTACATACCTAATTGTTGCAAAACAAAATAGCCAAGGCAATAGAAAAAATTGATAAGAAGACTAGAAAGATGTTAAAGAAGGAAGATCATTAGATCTTTAGTTTTATACCAATCAAAATGTTCAAAATATAGGAAAATCTTAAGAACCACCACATGCTTCTATTAGAATTTACTTTCAATTAATAAGACATTATATATTACTTTTAGAAGTAAGAATACTATCCACTCTTCCAAAGATTACATATCCTTAGGAAAAAAATAGATAGAAGGAAGATATAAAAATAATGTCTTCTAAAGTCAATAAAGGTTTGAAGATAAACTTGGTCAACAAATCAAGATGGTACAAGAGTAAATGACTATATTAATTAAAATACCAAAACTCCAATCAAGCACCACCATCTATAGAATCAAATAAATATTCTTTAAGATTATGGTGTATTCAACATAGCGAATCAAGTCATATTAATCAATTTTGCTTAATTTTTCATATGCATCAATAAAACTATAGAAGATAATAACCTTATATTCTTTTACATAAGAAGTAAGCTAATGTATGATCCAAATAATAACAACAAGCCTATAAAAATTTTAACCGAGGTTTTAGAGATTAATCAAAATAAAGACATAAAATATACTACTTTTGTGGAAAGAAACACTCACTTGGCAATTGTTGGGTGAATAATTTTTTAAAAAGAAATGATATTATTTCAATTAAATAATTTTAATATTTATATAAATTAGATTTCTTATAGTTTATAAGTTTTTTTATTTTAAATACCACCAAATTATTATTAATTTTTATATTTAAGTACGAAATTTTCATTGTAGATAGCAAACATTGCTTTGCTGGAGCAAGGATATTAATTTAAAGATGTAGGATTATAAGTTAAGATAGAATATGTGTATTTTTAAACAATTCAAGTAGAATTTTTGGAATATATTATTTTACATAATATTCTAAATATAGATTATAAATATATAAAAATTAATATTGATTTGATGTTTTTATGATTGCAAAATATTTTCAATGTTTATTATAATTTATAAATTTTTCTTAGATATTTATTAAGAATTTATCTAAAGTTTTTATATTTAAGTAGTTGTTTTCCAAATACAAACTTTTGTAGAATAAAGTCAATAGAATAAAATTTATGATTTTAAAATATTGAATCTATAAGTCTAATATTTTATCATTATGATTTATAGAAGTTATTCTTTTTAGAAACACATATATTATAATTTATTTTGTTTTTTTTAAAATAAAAGCTGAAATTAATTATATAAAAAGTTAATTATACATAGAAAATTGTGGCTTTAACAACTCCTTATATATATATATATATATATATATATATACATCTATAAATATTATAATTTGAAGAGGCTTAAATATTTTATGCCTATATGTATTTTAAATTTGTATTTAGTATCACACATTGTCTTAAAAAATAATGAAGATGGTTTAAATATTGTATATAATCAATAAAAAAATATCTTTTTTTAATCAAGAGCAAATAAATCTTTTAATTATGATGTTAAACATAGTAATGTTTAGTTATAGTGCAACCAACTTATAGAAGAAAACATATCCAAATTTTACTTAAAACTAATTTTACATACACTTATACTCAATCAAAAGCCACAGATATTTTATCTTTAAAGATAATAATTTAGAATGAGAAATTAACCTATTATTAAAGTTGAACCACTTTCAAATTCAATAATCATACATAATAATACTAAGTCCCAAAAGATTATTGCTCAAAATTTTAAAAATTCAAAGATGTTCAATCCCAAGGAGGATGTCTGTTATATCTCTATTATTTTAATAAAACCAATTGCACATACCAAAATTTCCTGTTAATCGGAATAATGCAAAACTGTTATAAGTCCTTGGAAACAATGGAAATAGGACAGTGTTCAGGTCATCAGCAACTATATTGTCTATATACATTCTCAAGTTCGGTTCGGCAAAAACCCTGACGGTAAAGCAGGAAAATGGAAACAGAATTGTCATATGAATGACACTTCTGTGATGAAGGGGTGTAATCTAAATAAAAACACAGCTGATCTCACAACCTTCCACAAAAAAAAAAAAAAAAAAAAAAGAAAAAAGGATTCTACTAGCATTGCGAACTGCCAAAAACCCAGACCACATGAAGTTATTTTGGTGCGGATGGTACTCGTCCAACACCCTGGTCATGTAGCAACCTTGCACCATGCACTTTGTCTCATACAAACACTGATTCTCCAATGAATACCGACCCGGTCTGTCTGCAGTCCATGATATATTTAAATGCAATGCATAGTTCCCTCCTGCCAACTTTTCGTAGTCTCCACTTCACGAAAGACTGCTTGCAGATGCAGGCACACCTTCAATTGCGCAATAATTCCATGCTACAATTACGAGACGTGGCCCTTCCCTTGGACCCAGCTCATTTTTACAGGAACCATATTGCACAACGTCTAGCACACAGGAATAAGTTCACACAGCCCCGGGGGAGGATTCTGATCATTGGAATCATCATCGTGTTCACTGTTACCTTTGTGGTCTGCATCCACCTCCTCCACCTGTGCCATCTCCTCCTCTTCGTCCTCTTCCTGAACCTCCTTACTCTTCTCGGATCCCACACCAGGGCTGCACAGCATATCCAGCAATGCGCTTGCGGCGAGCATCTCATCTTGCGTTGAAACCAATGGCCTGGACCAGTGCAGGGGTTGTGAGATGTCTAAACCCGGTGGTGCAGCTTTTTTCTTTGAATTCTTCATGGTCGACTTTTCATGCGATGTGTTAACCTCATGAGACGCTTGTCCTGAGCTAGGAATTTTCTTATCTTTCTCTCCTCCAGAATGACTCCGCATGATGTCTCTGTACTAGCAACCTGCATGTTAAAAGCACTGACCGTAAGTTTGACAACCTGAAGTACCTAGTTGATATGCGCCCACCAGTTCTGCTCATCCTGCAGACACAAATCTACATTTTTTGGTTTATTTACTCAGAACCATGAGAAAAGAGAACAAAAAGCTAGTGCTCTTTAAGATACGAGCGTTGAAGAGATTATGCTGTCTCTGACTCACAAGAAAACTGATCGTTCACAGCTTCGCCAAGACTTCGATTTCTTTCGTTTCTCCAAGATATTGGATACTGAAGTGAAACACAATTCGCACAAGAGGATATCTCAAGCGAAAATCGACAAGAAGTTTCTATATTTGCCCAAGGAATTGGGGATGATACAACCTCCTTTTTCAAGATACAAGTTCCTAGATAGCCATCTATTTCATCTGCACTTTGATCTATTTCATCTGCACTACACAAACCGGGGCGAGGGATGCATTGCTTACCTCGGCCAGCTATGCAGCGAGCACGATGGGAGAGGACGGCGTGCCTGGTCTCACTTCCAAACCCTTCAACACAATGGTGGAATCCCAGCGCCGCTATTCTACTTCACCAGCCCGGATTGCGGGACTTGAAGCCTCCATCACGTCCCGTCAGTCATCCGCACCGTCCAGCGAGGCATGACATCAGTTGGGTCGCAGGGAGATGGTGAGGACTACCGAGGCAAATTTGGGTGAAGGGGCGTTGGATCCAGGCACAGAGCTGGACGACGAGGGTCGAATCCATGTCCGGAAACCATGTCTTCAGAGGTCGCCGCCGCGACCAGGGCCTCGAAGTGGACCTCGTCGCGGCGCTGCGAGGTGGCGACGGGTTCAGTCCTAAGCGCGCCGTGAGGAACCATTGGAACGGCGTTCTTGTCATGGGGTTCACGCGTTCCCAGTCTGAGACTGTGTTTCAGGAGTGGAACTTCATGCACAACACGCAGATATATATATATATATATATATATATATATCATTCTGAATGATAGTGAGAAAATTCTGTACAATAAAATTAATTTTGGAAATTATTTGTGTGTGTGTGTGTGTGTGTGTGTTTTTTTTTTTTTTTTTTTTTTTAAGTAAATTAAGAAGAAATAAATCATTACAAGATATCTAATTTATTGAGGATTTTTTTTAACCACAAAAAATCTAAAATAATAATATTAAGAAATACTATGCTTTATTATTTTCTAAAATTACTTTTTATGGTAAAATTTTATAAATTATATTTCTAGAAGATAAGGATTGGCCATCTATGACTCCAACAATTATTTATTGTAAAATAAATAACTATTACAAGTATTCTAAATATAAAATAATCAAATCAATATCTACAAAAGAGGATATCACAACTTGTCAAAATGTATCTTATATTTTACATACTTTGACAATGTTCTAATCTAATGTAATACAAATATATTTATCATGAGTTTGTACACAATGACATAAATCAAGTTGGAATATATGTGCAGATACAGTGTTTTATATTTTGAGGAATCAAATAATACATACTTGTTATATAAAATTATGTATACTCAATTTTGTCATCAAATAAATTAAATGAAAGAATTTTAACATATGAAGATAATAATATACATGCAAATTTCTAAAAAAAATCTTTCATAATATATATATATATATATCATACAATTATAATGACAATGATACAATCATTGCATGTGATATAAAATTAAACTATTAAATCTATTTTATTTTCTGATTAGTAATATTGATAAATTTTAACTTTCATTTTTTTTTTCTTTTTTTTTTCTATTAATTTCTAACACATATTTGTTTTTGCTGCATTAATAAATCTTCTATAATCAGATATCATTTCTGTATGATGCACAGAATCATTATTCCAATGTTTGAGTAATTTTTATTAGTGTTTGGATTCTGCAACATTTGCAAGATAAGCACCGTTGGATGTATTTTTTAACCTTCAAATTTTTTAGATTTAAAGTTGATTTTTTTTACTTTTTTGATTTCAAAATTACTCAATATTTAAAGTGCATTTTAAAAAAAGAAAACAAAGCTTCCAAAATAATCATAAACAGAAATATTTACATTTTCACGATACATTATTGAACTTCAAAGATTTAAAACAAATATTGATTGCTCTGTAAATGTTACAATAAATAAATATGGTTTGCATACAGTCAGAAAGATCACAAATCATGAGAAATTGTTCAAAATCGTAAATCGTAAATCCAAACTCCGCAGAAACATCAAAAGCTGTGAAGGAGAAATTTCAATGATCACCTCATAGAACTTGGTAACATGAAGTCAACTATTCTTATTAATAGGTTAAAAAGATCATGAAATTACAACTACAAAATGTACATGGCTATGAAACTGATTAATGTCGAAGCTCATTGTTACTAAAGAAATCCGTAGCAACACACCTGGAAGTTGATGAAAGTTCGAGGTAAAAGTGCTGGAGCAATGAATGACTCCAATTCTGGACTTAACCTCACCAAGCCTTGCCTGAAATACATCTATCCAATAAATTTTATCACAAATTTCATCTTTTTGAGTACAATTGGTTTGACTAACTGGCAGCTCACACACAATAACCGCCTGCAAGGATTCCAAAAGCTGGTACAGCCTGGCTTAATATTAAGATTGATAAGGTGATACAGTAAAACAATTACGAAAACAATGATGAAATATTGAACAAGTAGTAAATTACAGAATGTACCTCTACTTTTTGGATAACGATGATTCGTGGACCAACCATTGCAAACTTGGCTACGACGTTAAAAGTTGCACCCTCGTTCTTCTACATAGAAGAGTGATGAAATACTAACTCGATCAACTAAAGCCGTTGACAGAGAAATTCACACTAAGCTCCATCAGTGTTTGCATTACACGGACAGCTATAGAAACCAAGGTAAAACTGAAAACAGTACGTACAAAATATTGGGTTACATCTTCAACCTAACTGAGAAATATCAAACTATAATTAGCAGAGCACATCACTTTGATGGAATGCCTCTGTAGGATTAGTATCGATTAGAATCAGTAAACTAGCAAAAGTAGAGAAGAAACACAGAAGACACGTAAAAAGAGAGGAAAAAAACCACAAGTAGATCACAAACCTGTAAAAGTCCTGACACACTCCAGCGCACAATGTTCTCTACTGTCCCACCATCTGTTCTCCCTTGGCAATCAAAGCACTGGTACAACTGTCCAACCTGCTCCATGAAAAACTTTTATTTGGCCTCTCAGGGTGGAAGGTTGCCCCAACGTAAATCGAATTCAAATACGATGTTATAAAACGTCGTTAATCTATGGTTCCAGAGACACATAGCACGTCACAAAGGTGATCATGCACTTCCATCCTAGCCTCAACCGAGGCAACATTGTGGAAAGATCTCACAAGTTTTCACAAAACACAAGGTTCCACACACCGAGAAAAGATGAGAACACAAAGATGCGGAAAAGAGCAACGTGTTTCACCTGCAGCAGAGGGAATTGATCAGCAGCTTGTATGAGCGATACGATTTCAGAGGCAGTTGTATACTGGAGTAACCAAGTCCCGTGCAGTTGGTCCAGCACTAACGGTGTTCCCGCGTTGTACTTCTCCACACCCATCTGGCTTTCCCATCCAGATTGGCCTGTACCATGAGATACCAATAAAGCACATCTAACGACTTCACAAAACTAAACCCTTGCAAAATACTGCAATATGGTAGTACTAAACTACAAAGGCGCTCCCAATATGCCGATTGATAGCAGGTAACATTCTCCCGGACTCTTCGTGGGTTGCTCATATCTAACTTCTTGGTCCACGTACGGTGCTAAGACAGCACGAATAAGATTTAACATCATAGTAGAGGTTAAGAAAATAATGTACCATGGCGTCTTCTACTGCGGCACGCTGCTCTGTCGTGACCTGTGCACCCCTTTTAGTGTCCATCACTGCTCGAAGGAGATCCATCTTAACCTTCTCCACCTCCTGCATCCTATCCTGATCTATCTGAACTTCCTGCTGGCCTGAAATTTGCAAGGACACTCCATAGAATGACATTAGCTGCAAGAATTTTTTGACAACACACACTACGAAAAGACGTGGGATTGAATGTATCCTAAATAAGATTAACGACATGTACTTGTAGATGAATTGAATTCTGATATTAGAAGAGACGAGAACCCAAAATCTACATCAGGGAAGGGAACCAGGACATGTCAACAGAAAATTATCCCAAGTATCCCTCAACGAATTCCTTGCGAAACATACCACTGACCCAAACTTTCACAATGACACACCACACAATGTTTTACAAATTCAGGAGACGGTCACCAGGACAGCAGAGAATTTATTCCTACAGTACATTCACCGCATCCATGGTCATCAAGCTAACAACATATTTGCAAGACATGAAAGAAGGGAAGGGACCCAGAAACAAACGTCGTAACACGAATCTGTACCTTCGCGATTGCCCCCGCAGCATCAAAACCCCTCGATCGCTGTGCCTTCCTGGTTTTACGCCCATTCCCAGTGCTATCTACGGGAAACCCACCTCCTTTTCGCAACGCCAGTGCCAATCTTGCGCCTCCACGACTCGGCACCACCTCACCACTGAATGCATTGCAATACTTTTCCCCAGAAACTGAAGCACACTGGTGCCGAGGCCCCAAAGAAGGCGGCGCCCGCATGGCTGCAGACATGCTCGGCATGAAGATTAAAACAGAGCAAGGCTCGCTTGTCGAATATAAATTTCTGAGCTCGAGCAGTGCAAACTTTCTTTGGGTTAATGATGGATGAATGGATGAATGGATGGATGACGGGATTGACGGATGGATGACGGGATTGACGGGTGGATGACGGGATTGACGGATGGATGACGGGATTGACGGATGGATGACGGGATTGACGGATGGATGACGGGATTGACGGATGGATGACGGGATTGACGGATGGATGACGGGATTGACGGATGGATGACGGGATTGACGGATGGATGACGGGATTGACGGATGGATGACGGGATTGATGGGTGGATAGTGGGGTTGATAGATTAATGATGGGATGAATGAACGAACGGATGGATGGGTTGTGGATTTTAGGATAGCAACAAACCATAAATTTACACTAGCTGATGATTGTGTGAAAACTTATTACACTGAAAGAGACTTATTCTAAGATCTAATAATCAATTGCTGAACTTCAATGAAATTCTTTCTGCTATTATGAAATACAAGCATACCATGACCTCTACATTAGACTGAGAATAAAAACGTTTTTCTTAATTCAAAATATATATTACATCAAAAATTGAATTGTGTATAGGTCTACTAAATACATTCAGATGATTAGATTTATGAAAATACTATTCTTTACGAAATATTTCACAAACATCTGATTGATTAATATAAAAATCATAGTCTATTGTTAAATCTATATTATTGTTTGATAAAAATATATTTTCTACAAATAGGATGTAACTAAAAGTAGGATTTATTTTTATGTATTTTAAGTTGTATTTTAAGTTGTATTTTACTTATACTAAAAGCATATGGTGATTTGGTTTGGTTTTATTTTTATATATATATATATATATATATATATACATACATACATGCTACTAAGTTTTATATCTATGTCTAGAAAAAATTGAGATTAATTTTTATAAGTTGATTTTATTTAGGATGTTATTTTATAAAAATTATCAAGATTTTTTTATTTATTAAATAAATTATGTCATATTATTATTTTTTAAAATTATTAAAAAAATCATTGATGATTTTAATTCATAAGATAATTTTCTTTTAATTTAATTTTTTCTAATTATAAAAAGTTATACATCTATACATATTTAGATGTTAAATGATCTAAGTTGTATACATTGCATGATTACATTAAATGCACGTTGTAGTACTTTAAAGCATTAAATGGCTATATGATCAAAATTTATGATAAAATATTTTTATAATATTACAATATTGATAATATAGAAAATAATTTAAAATTTTATATTCAAGCTTATTTTTAATAATATTATTTGGTTTCAATATTTTAATATTTTTAATAATAATATTTTTATAAAAAAATAAATCTTTATGAGTATATGTGAATCATCAAATCAACTCATTAGTGGTTTTGAGATAAAAAGATGCATTTATAGTACTTAAAACCACAATATATGGTGAGTAGTGTAGAAATCCTTAAACAAATAGAAAATTAGAATGTTAGTTGTAGAAATAGGAACTTAGTAAGTCTTGGAGGTAATTATTTTAATTAATTTAGTATTTTTTATTTATTATTGAGTATCAAGGATTATTTATTGAGATCAATATTTATATTGGCCTTATATCTATATGTATTACTTATATAAAAATTCATAAATATTAGTTAGTAGTTAGAAGAAGCATGAAAAAGAACCTCATGTCTTTTTTTAGTTATGTAAAAAGAAAGATTTATAATAGATTTAAATTAATTTTATTACTATAAAAATTTATCAAGGAAAAAAATTGATTCAAATTGATTTTAAAATTATGAAAAAATTATAGAAATTTTTAGAACTTATTTAGAATTTATTTTTAAAAAATTAGGAATTTTTAGAGCAATTTCCAAGACTTTGGTAAAAATGAGTTTTACCACTTTGGAAGCCATTATGAAGAAATGGAGTAAGATTTGAAGGCCATTCAAAGTTTCAAGGCTAATTGGATGTTTTTAAATACCATGTTGAAGTCAAAAATGCAAAATTATTGGTTTTATTAGTAGAAAATAGGATGACCAACAGCTAGTATAGTCTTAGTAAGAAGGGAGGTGCACAAGTCTCATATTTAAGTAATTATGTATGTTCATGATAATATCTTCTTCTCTTCTAGGAACAAGTTCTATATGTAATAATGATGGCATCTTGATTCTTTATTTTTGTTATGATAGATGTTATTAATAAAAAATAAAAATCTTCCTCGTTACATTTGTAAGATTCTTTATTGCTTATCATATGTATTCACTAAAATCATATCCATGCAAATGTATAAGATCTTCCAATCTTTTTTAGTACCACCTTGAATCTAAGACTTTTTTACCTCAAATTCTTGATTATTATCAACTTCTAAAAGGTGAAGTGATATTTGTCTTTTTTTTAGTATATTTTCTATCTTGTATGATTTATGAAGAAATAAATAAAACATATGATGGATATTTATAGAATCCAATAAATATAACCAATGTGCAACTAGATTGATTAATTTACGAATAAAAAATGGTCTAAATTTATAATAATTGAGCTTATCATAAGAACAATTAGTCTTAATATTACGACAAAGTAATCATACTTTATTACCAACAAGAAATTGAGGTTGTTCCTTACAATAGATATAAATGTTGATCTTTTTTTTGTTTTTGAGCTTCTGTCAAGGACAAAGACTCGATGAGGGAAAATATACACCAAAAGGCTATCTTGATATAATAAGTCAAAATATAAACAAGTAGGTATATTAAAAGGAAACTGGAATGGCTATTGCTACAAGACAAGAAACTAAAGACTCTTGAACCTGGACTAGAAGCAAGAAAGGAGTTGACAAGAGTGAAGAAGCCTTCACTCTTGTCTCTATATATACTATCTAACTAGGGGCTATGTGGCGACGTTCTATAGGACCTCCAATATGTGTTGACTTTGTAGGACACATGCCTTGACTTACAAGGCAAGTTTTTCTACGTGTGGGCCACATAGTTAGCTTGATCTTCAAGCTAACAACATGTGTGGCACATGGCCAACTTGTTGACCACGTTTCTAATCCAAAAAGTCAATTAAAGACACCTATGAAGTCAAAGCAGTGTCTAGGAAGTTTTTAGGAAGCTTCTATATTAAATATTATAGAATTAACTTACTTTTATCTACTTTTACTTACTTCTACCTATTTCTATATGTAATTATTAGCTTACATGATTATGGCCGTGACATTACCCCCCCTTCTAGAGACGAGTTCCACGAGGAGCGGTCATCATATGTTGAGGAAATCTATGATGCGACGAATTGTATTCGCCACATACTTTGATCTCTGTTTTCTTCGAAGATGATTGATAGGACCTCTCAACTATCGGTAGTGTCCCATACCAGGGCGGGAAGACCACCCAGTTATTTGATCATTATTGAGGCCTTCATAACTTCCTTCGAATAGAATATTCGGAACACCATCAGGAGTTGTTCCTACCTCTAGCAAAATCACCAAACATCGGGAGTTCCTTCCCAAATCGTGATACCAAACGCGTTGTATCTCACCATCTGTTCGAGGAAGTACATGTCGTTCTTGAAGATCTTCATCTCGATTGCGTCGTCTTGAAGGTTGTGACAATCGTAATGTCTTGTCCGGCAGGTCAGCAAACGAAGGTTCTTAAGTTGAATCCGCTGGTTGTTGGCTCTCCATCTAATTAGCGTCACAAATGTAAAGAAGTTACAAACAAGGATAGGAAATTGAATGTTATCTTGCCTCAATCTTGTCTCTTTTATAAGAGAGATTTTCATCTTGATTTTGATGGATGTCGTTGATGAAAAACTTTGACTTTAGTTGATGCATTTGCTAGATTCCTGGATGGCTCCCATGTGCGTTCACTAATATCATATCCACGCCAATGAACAAGATATTCCAGCTTATTTCGGCGCCGCCTTGAGTCTAATATCTCTTTCACCTCAAATTCTTCATTATTATCTACTTCTATAGGAGGCGATGGCATTTGTCTTCTTCCTTGTATATCCACTGTCTTATATGGTTCAAGAAGAGATACGTGGAATACAGGATGGATCTTCATTGACTCCGGTAGATGTAACCGATATGCAACTGGGTTGATCTGTTCAGAAACATAAAAGGGGCCAAGCCTACGATAGTCCAACTTATCACAAGGTCGAGTAGTCTTGATATTGCGACGAAGTAGCCATACCTTATCACCCACGTTGATTTGTGGTTGCTCTTTACGATATAGATCTGCGTTTATCTTTTGTCGTTCTTAAGCTTCCTTCAATTGTGTCTTCATTATTGCATGTAACTCTGACAACCGATTTGCTATATCTTTTGCTGCAGGATTATCAACTTTTGAAAAATCAAAAGTATCAAGTCGTGGATGATAGCCATAATTGGCAAAGAAAGGTGTTTGTTGCGTGGAAGAATGTACCGTATTATTATAAGCAAACTCTGCCAATGGCAGAAGGGTTGTCCAATCATCTTGTTGGTAGTTAATAGTACACCTTAAACATTGCTCCAAGACTTGGTTTACGCGCTCTGTTTGTCCATCAGTTTGAGGATGGAAAGCCGAAGATAGCTTTATGTCCACTTTTAAAATCTTGAAAAAGGTCCTCCAAAATCTTGACACAAATTGAGTTCCCCTATCCGATATGATATCTTTAGGTAATCCATGATAGCGATAGATATTATCAATGAAAAGCTTAGCTGTTTCTTCACCTGTGATAGATTTTGTACATGGCACAAAATGTGCCATCTTGGTGAAACGATCTACTATCACAAATATAGAATCATAAGATCTTGAGCTTGGAAGATCTGTGATGAAATCCATAGAAACAGAAGACCATGGTTGTTCTGGTATAGGTAATGGCTGAAGAAGTCCATAAGGTCGATGACGAGGAATTTTTGATCTTGAACAAATATCACATGATTGTACAAAGTCTTTGACTGACTTCCACATTTGTGGCCACCAAAAATCTCTTGATATGAGTTCCAAAGTCTTATTATATC